GTAATAAAAGCAGGAGGTGTGAGGACAAAGATGAAGAAGAAGGTCGGTGCATGTGCCCTAGATCTGCAGAGCAAAAACACCTGTTGCTGAAAGTGTCAGATCTGACCATGTCCGCTGCCAGCAGGAAAGCTGCATTACTCAGTTTTATGATCATTAGAAAATACCAAAGTTGAAGATTATTGTTCACTTTCTTCTTTAATTTGCAACCACCAGTGTCCTGTGAAACACAAAACTGCAGAGCACACCAGCATGTTGCTGATATTGGATGCACTTAGTAGCTTGTAAATGCTGCTAACACTTATAACCAACTTGCTTCATAATTTTCTTAGAAAATTTGGCGCGTGTATGTCATTTACATCTTGAAAATGTCAGCATACAATGTGCATATATTTGGAATAAGGCACAATGTAAATGGGGAAATGAACGTGAAAGGCTAGCTCATTTTATCACTTTTGGAACTACAATATAGAATAAAACTTGAATGCAATATTTGTCATAGGGATGTGTCCTCAATTTGTGCCAGGGAGGTTCAGATTGGTCATTAGGAAAAGCTTCTCTGAAGGGAGTGGTCAGGTGCTGGAATGGGCTGCCCAGGGAGGTGGTAGAGCCACCAACCCTGGAGGTGTTCATGAATTGTTTAGATATTGTACTGAAGAACCTGGTTTAGTGGGAAATACAAGTGATTGGTGGACAGTTGGACTGGATGATCTTGGAGGTCTTCTTCAACCTTGATGATTCTATGATTCCATAAGTGTGATACACGTTGCATCTAAGCTAGCAGGATGTTACTGCACACTACTGACTTTGATATAAGATGAAAAAAAATGCTACAATTATTTTTGCAAAAATAGATGTCTGTGATAATAGATAGATTTTTTTCATAAAACTTTACATTGACACATATTTTTACAATATGGAGGAGAAACAGTTAACAGAAATATTACAAACGATGGGGAAATTCTTTGCAACTGAGAAAAGACTGGAAGTTGAAAGCACTCTCTTAGGCTTTAGTCAGCAGATGTCCTGCCATTTGGGTTCAGCACTGTTCATGCTCTCAAATCAAAATCACATGAGGGCCTTTGGGAAGCAGAGTTTTCAGACTGCTTCCCTTTGCAATCTGTCAGAAGTTTTCCATTAAAGAATACCACCCTGGACTGGATCTTGTTAAGATCAAGATTCTGATCTCAGTCTTCCCTTTCTCTCTAATAAATGACCTTTCATAAGGACTCTTTCACTACTGCTTGTCTCTTCTTTTCTTTCTCCAGATAGTTTTTTATTCTCAGTGAACATTTTTTTCCATCTGTTCCTGAAAACAGATTTTAAATGTGTAAATTCCCTGGCAAATATACCTCTTTCCAGAAACAGAATGAGATTTAGCTTGAAGGAAACTTTTTCCCCTCCACTTTCCAGTCCCAAACCTGGAGGTTTCTTACTTATCAGAAACTGTGCTTCCAAAAATCTGCCATCAGTATCTGGGCACTCTTCCAGGCATTACTGCCATGGAGCTGCTCCTTTCCCTGCTGAAAGACTGGAACAGCAGTGACAAAGCTGCCAATGACTTCTGAGAGCATGTGGCCCCATGACATTTGCCATCACTCCTAATGCTGTGCTCACCTGTTCAGCTGGTTTTGTAGTCACCAGGTGGACTGACACTGTCAAGAGGTTCTGCCTTTTTCTCTGTTTGGGAGCAAGTCAGGAATAATGTGTCTTTCCCAGTAAAAAAAAAAAATATCCATAAATTAAACAACAGTTATGGTTTGACTCTTTGTATGATGAATACAGCTGGGAGCCATACACAGGAGGAACTTGATATTGAGAACAGACTTTGCTAGAGGAAGCTACAGATTTGTTTTACTTCCTGATCTCGTATATCTTACCTATTTGACTTTCAGGCTGATAGACCAAGAGCCTGTATTACACTTGGCTTTGTCAGTGAAAGTGATTAACCTTGCTGTGAAAGCGTATCATACTGCCAGGAAGTACGAACAAATGCTTAAATGGTCAATGTGAGACTTTAATCCAAGCTCCAGTGCTGCAAATGCAGAGGAGACTCTGTGCTGCACCACCTCTCTCAGACCCTCAATCCCACAGCTAAAACCAAAAATGCCCATGATTTGACCTGCACAGTTAGGGTCCAGGTACTGGCTGAACTAGATTTAAGGATTTTTATTGCTTTGTAAAATCTCCATCATCTTTCTTGTTTGTAGCTGTTTCCACTTAAACTATGTGCTGTTAAGCCCAGAAATGGTTCCTGAACACATCCTCAACCATGGGTAAAGATGCTTTGCTTTCATTCTTTCCACATTGCCCGCCTTCCTCACATAGACCTACCACAATGTGTTCTGAAATGTGTAATCAAGCACTGACAAGAAGACAAGAATAACAAGGATAAGTTTTGTGGTTCACCACGTACATGGCAGCACTGTATCCTATCCTTCATGCCAAAGTAAACCCCGGTCACAACCCCCTCTTTTGTACTATGTGTGAGTTTTATTCAAGTGGATCTGACAAGTGATATGCTGAGATCTGCAGTGCCGAGATTAAAGTATTTATGTAAAGAAATCAATAAGCCTCAACTAATTACTTCAAGTGAAGCTCAGGATGAGGGATAATTTCGGGACAGTAAAATAAAAGAGTCTGATTTGATCAAAGCAGCCATCTAAACCAGCGGTGCTTAGTTCGCTTCTGTTGGTGGTTCAGTTTGGATTGCTTGATTATCTGAAAACTTCAGAAATATGTTGAAATTCTTACCCTGAATGGGAGTAATCACATATCTCCACAGCTGAGTTTTGATCTTTGCCTGTTCCAGATTATGTTTATTATTAAAAAATGCCTTCTGCTTTCTATTATTTACGTATGTATTTTATGATGGATTAATAGCTGATTATTGTGTGTGACACAAGGCAAGAAATACCTTGCATGTGATTATGATCACATCTGTGGAAGATACAGAAAGTTACAACGCACATATTGATCTACGTGGTGTGGCTATTGGCTGATGTTAACAAAGTAGCTAAAATTACTAACTGATATAAATCAACAGACAGTCAGGATTGCCAAAAGTCAGAAGAGAACTTCTGTATTTTCAAGACCCGTGCCAGTTTCAAAGCCCACCATCTTCAGTGTAGCCTACTTTAACTTTTCCAGTAGGTCTGCTCAGAGTCATTCCTATCCCACTCTTTTCTGCCTGTTTTGCAGATATTTGCCAGAGTAATCTCCATGCTTTGGTGTGTAATGACTGGAAAGCTGAGATCTAAGTCCAAATATCTCCTAGGTCACATTCACATAAATGTCCCCAAATTTGAACGTGTTTCACATTAATACCAGCTGCTACCTAAGATTTCCAGAGTCTGACATCTGAGATAGAGGGGACTTGGCTGCAAGGAGTACACAGTCCAAACACAACTCCCTGTTCGGCTTCATCTTGTGTAAAGGACCTTGAATGTGACAGTCCTGGAGAGTGGCTCAGGCATTTCATAAAAATAGTTTAGTAGGCAGTCAGAGTACAACCCTCTCAGACTCCATGGTGAGAAGCATAGAAAGTAAATTTTCCTTCCTCGACTATAAGCCTGCTGAGTGTTTAAGGCAAATGTATCTATTCATGATGGAGACTGAGTCAATAATTCCAGAGGAGATTATGTTGTTGTTGTTAGAATTGATCAGAAATGTAAATAATTAAAATAAGTTCTATGTATTTATATCATGAAAAAAATTAAGAATTTTAACACAACGGATAATTTCTCAATACAGACCAAATTTTAACTTCCAGCCTATGTCAGCCAACAAGACACAACGTGTTTTTTTAAATCATCATAGCTGATATATATTGTACTCCACTGCCAAAGATAAATATGTATATAAAATTTTTTAAAAAAATTGTTAGAATAAAAAGGCAATATGTACTGGTTTGTTTTGTCACTGTCACTAAACATTTTTGAATGTTTAGAATTTATGGATATAGCAGGAGTCTGCATTCAAGCATAAATAGGGCTAAACATTCCAAGAACCTTGTTATCCTAAGATGAACTTTGCCTATCAATATACGCATTACTGATGCAGTAAACACTTTCACCATTTAAATAAAGGTATAGTTTTAAAAATCCTATTTTCTGGGAGATTTTTACATACAGAAAAATGTTAAAAATCTCTTCCCCCCGAATAAATTAAAATAAGTCTTTTTCCATATTTTATATTCTTATCTTTCAATTGCAGATTTTTTCTCCCCTGGTTTTTAAATACAACCAAATTTTCACCTGTTGATAAAAAGTAAAAAAACATCAGGAGAAATAAGGTTGTTGCTCAATTTCGTGAAGTTTATAGCTTTAGCTCTGATATTGTGCGGGACTGTAAACCTGTAGGCAAGCCTTGAATGAGTAACATTTTAGGACCAGCATTCTTTCCTTATCTTTCCTTCCAATTTGCCTTCTTGGTTACAATAAGACTTCTAAGTAGTTTGTCCAGAACTGCATTTGATGATCAGAGACAACTATAAAATATAAGTGATCTGGTTGTGTGGCCTGGAAAAAAGGTATATCTTGTAGAATATTAGGGAATATTCTGTTCATTTTATTCATGTGTGGTCTTGCATATTTCTTGCCTGTTGTTTATATTATACTGAACATTTCTTCAGGTTACTCAGAATATGACATAGATATAGTATCACTTTCCTATTTAACTTACTAAATTCTTTACTTTCAACCATAAAGCATTCACTGATGAAGTTTAGGATCAAACTAGGAATAGGTGAACGGATGTTTCTAGTGGAAGGGGTATGTGAGAGCAATGATTTGTGATAAACATGCCTTTGCATGAGGACTTGTAAATGAAGCTGATTACCCCAAGGAAAGTTTTTCAAGAAATTTTATTCGGGAAAGTCCATATGTTTCAGTACTAGCAGGAAGAATAAAACCACACATTTCATCTATTTTAGTTAAATAAACATTCTTACATCTCTTTCTTTCTTTTTTTTTTTTCCTAAACGATTCTGTTCCGCTTTACAGACTTATATTTTCCCATGAAGAAAAGCGATTCCAAGAGTTCTTCATTGAAGAAATATTCCTACTGATTGAAAATAAAAGAACAGAGGAATTCCATCTGTCCATGTGTCTGCCTGTCTATCTATCCTCGTATTTTTAAGTTTGCCAGTCTGTTTTCACACTTTCAAACCTTTTATCCTATCCGAAAAGGTTTCTTCTTTTTCTTTTTTTCTTTTTGCTTGTATTATTCTGCACTGCACTGACTGAAAACACATATATATATATATTATTTTTTATTGTAGTCTTGCAACTTGTGAACTGAAGACCAAATCTAAGAAGGTGAAGTAGAGCTGCAGGGTCTCTTCACTGCAGACCACTGGACACAGTATGTACTTATTTTGGCAATATCCTTGCACATACCCTATGTATACATGTCCCTTGCCTTTAATTTTAATGATTCCCTGCACTTCTGTAAGACTGTTCCCAAGAAGTTCATAACAAGATCATGTCTCAGAGTCTCGTAGGGAAAGACTCAGTTTATAGAATTGAACTATAAGATTCCACCCTCTTTAGCATTGAAAAAAAAACACTTAAAATAGACCAGATGCCTTCCCAAATATAAATATGAGTGAGAAATAAAAGCTTCTTTGATTCTTGATACAGACATTCATTTTTAATTGAGACTAGGGATTTGTTCTAATTAAGAATCTGTAATACTGTCGTGATTTATTTGGGCCATGGTGATTTTCTCTATTTGACAGGACCATTTATAATAATTAAACTAAACAATTTCCATATTAAGCTGCCAGAGGAAGAGAACAAGAGTGTTAAATCTATCTGAAATAAAAACTGAAATGAACCATGGCATTGTTCTGATTCTGGTACAGCTGTTTCAATTTTCAAACTTCTATTATTTTCCTCCCTCATGGTTTAAAATGTAGTGTGAATGAAATAGAAATGAGAAGAAAGTGAGAAAGGATATCTTGCTCTGAGTATTCTATGCAAACAAAAGAGTAACAGTAAAATACAAGGGCATCTATTTTATCTGTTTATTTATTTCAAGCTACTTAGAAATATGTTGTTCTGGCAAAACCCTGAGTGTGCATTGAAAAGCTTTAGTAATAAATACTGAGAATTAAAGCAACTTCCATATACCATAGAGAAAACTGATGTGTTGAGAAAGAATTTACAAGAGCAGTTATCTGTCCTCAGGTGTGTGTGGAGCTTCAAGGGAAAGAGCAGAAGGAATATATGCATCCCTTCTCTTATGTCTCTGGATCTACACAGAGATTTACAAATCATCAGGATAAAAGAGCAAAGTCTACAATTTTCAAGTCCTCATATTTCTCTCTGGTACAAATGAGGATCTCATCTAGTGCCATTTCTGATCTTGTATCTAATGTTTTGCTAAATTACAAAGGGTTGTGAATTATGTGCCTATATATTGGTGAAATATGAAAGAATATCTTGTACATACCCGTTCCAAGACAATCTTTTCCAAGTTTTTCTGACCATATAGTTTCTCCTCAAGTAAATGGATGAAGAAGATGGTAGGTGAAAGGAACCTCAACTCCATTCTGAAACACACTAGCTAGCAAAGCTGAGTCAGTGACTAAGAGTGCTCTAATATTCTATAGATGCTATTCCGAACAGGAATGAAGCCTCAAGCTTAAGGCAAAAGAAGCACATGGGCCACCACTACTACAGTGTGTGCAATACCAGAGTCAAAGACTACACCTCAAGCCATGAGGGAAACTGCTGAGCACTGAGTTTATTTCACTGATCATTTACCCTAAATGACAGTAGATCTGTTTATAGCAAAAAAATTTGGGCTTACCTCCTTTGTTCCATTTAATTTATTTCTATTTTTTTTTTTCATGTCTGAATTCTATTTTTACAGGAAACTGAATATGAAGCTTTTTTAAAAGCAGGTGGTTTCTTGAATAGGCCTTCTCATTTTTAAGTATTGGGAAAGAAATAAGACTTCCGTGGTCTCCAGGCAAATGAGACTTAGAGGTTGTAAGTCTTTGACTTCCAAGCTGACCTTTCGTTACTGCTGAGTTGCTGTCAGCCATGCAAGGCTTGACAGAGCAAAAGTAGGATTAGATTTCAGAGACTTTAACCACCATACTCAATGGACCAAACTCTTTAGTGCATGACCTGAAGAGTAATTCTAGCTTGCCACAACATATGGCTATATGTAGGTCCTAAAATCAAGTTCATTAAAACACTTAAATAAACACGACAGAAAGGAGGAAAAAGTGGAAATAAATGAGCAGCTGCTAACAGAAGCTGGGCTTGGCAGCTATGTCCACTTCAAAAAGTGATTACATGGATGTTTCCGTCTTTTAAAAGGGTCTTTAGTACGAAACATTCAAACAGCAAAAGAACGAATTAAAGAGAAGGAAATTAATGTGTATGCTTAAAAGTTGGAAAACTTTAATGACTTTTGATGTGATTAAGGCGGACACGTTTTGTAGAGATTTCACCTGTTTTTTAATTTCCTATTCTATCTGGCTGTGATCTGTCCCTGCACTGTTCCGTAGTGGAAGATCTTGAATCCAAGCATGCTGTGCAACTCTCCTTTGGGAACAGCTGGAATTATTTGTAATTAATGCAACTGAGGCTTAACAGGTTTGAAGGGTCAGCTAGAAGAAATCAGAACTCTTTTGTCTATAAGTTCAGGAAATGAGATTGCATCCATCAGCTGCAGGTGTGATTTCAGCCCTTCATGTTCTCATTCTCCAGTCCATACTGAAGCAAGCTTTCTCTTCCAAAGGAGTGTAAGGGAATAGCTGAATAAAGCATAACCTTCCCAGGAAATTTCAGGACATTATTATCTGCTCATAGACAAAAGCCAGAAATACAAAGACAGATAAAAATATTAATAATAATAATTAAAAAAAAAAACCAGCAGGCAAATAATAAAACACTGATCTCTTTTTTATTAAAACCTCTAAGGGAAGGAAATCACCCAACTGAAAATCTAAATTTTCCCCTAATCTCCTAATCTCTAGGAAATCTTGGTATAGCTCAGGAAGATTTCACGTTTAAGAAATGAAGTTAGGTTTCAAATCTAAATTCCTTATTTTGGATGTGCATCTAATTGTAAGTTTACACTTGATTGTTCCTTTGGATTAAAATGTAGTCGAGTTAGATCAAGAGTATTCTGTCCTCTCCTGCTTTGTTGTGGTTTAACTCAGCAGACAGCCAAACATCACACAGACATTTACTCCCTCCCTCTCCGTGTGAGAAAATTGAAAAGCACAAGAACTCGTGCATTGAAATAAGGATAGTTTAATAAGAGAAAAGAGGAAAGGAAATGAAATAGGAACAATAAAAAAAACACAACTAAAAGAAAACAATAACAACAACAGCAATAAATAAAGCAATTGATGAGCAATGTAATTGATCAATGTAATTGATCAGCCAGTCCTCTAGCAGTGGCATCTGTCAAAGCCAACTCCTTTAATTCTGTTTCAGCATGGCAACATATGGTATGGGATATCCATTTGTCCAGTTTGGATCAGCTTTCCTGGTTTTATGGCCTTCCCACACCTTGTGCACTCCCATCTCCTCACTGTGAGCAGTATGGGAAGCTGAAAAGTCCTTGACTTAGCATAAACTCTGTGAGCAGCTATAACATTGGTGTTTTATCAGCATTATTCTCATCCTAAATCCAAACCACAGAATCATCCCAGGCACTAGGAAGCTCAGCATAAGAAAATGCTGTTTTTTTGTTGTTGTTTTTTTTTTTTTTTCCCTCCGCAGAAAATTAAATAAGCTCTCAAAGAAAATAAAACAATCTTCAAGCTTCTGGTAGTGGATGAAAAGAGCTGAAGGCACATATTACTAAGTACAGAACTGGTACATGTTCATAGTGCTCCTTAGAATTCTTTCTAAATATTTTGATAGGGCAGTTTTATTCTGGCAGACTCAGGATCAGATCAAGTATAATCTACACAGCTACACAAAGGCAGCCCAAGCACCATATGTTGTGCTCTGGCACAGCACACATGCCACATCAGAAATATAACCAAGCAGTCACTCCAGACCTAGATCAGATTCCTATTGGTTTTGAGTGTATAAATCACCTATCAATGAATATGGAACCCCTGTGTGCCATTGTTTTGAAACAAATACCCCTCCAATATCAAGTATTAGCCATAATGTTTACAAGGATACTATTTGTATGGATGTACATCTGTACACATTGGACATTGGTGTTTTCTTAGAACTTTCTGGCCAGTGTCCAATTAATTTTTGCTGCAAAATGTATATTTGATAACTACTTTTACTGTGATCTTTCCTCAGAAAATTTATTTCAGTCCTATGGAAGTAAGGTTCATTAAATACTAAATAAGTATACTGCTGCTTACAGAGTTTGCACTGGTACTTGCTGCATCTCCTTTTCTGCTTCCATATATACGAAAAGTGTCTATATGTTTCTACTTGCTGTTCATAAAAGGAGGCTAAAGAAATAAATAATTTTTAGATCTCTTTAATCAGACATACCTTTCAGATAATTTACGTGTAGTCGTTTTCAAACTTCCAAAAGTTCTCTGAAAAAGAGATAGGACTTTTAAGATTTCTAAGAAAGCAAAATTGAAGAAGATTCATTTTATTATTATTTTTTTTTAAACACAGTTTTATGGAAAATTTGTTTCAAGCTTTTAAAAACTTTGATCTTCTAAGAAACTAAAGAGAAATTCTTAGTTAGGAAGATATTTCAAAGAGATCCTTAGAAATATTGAAACATTTGTTATTTTCTTAATAAGTAAAATGCACACTTAGAAAGCAATTCCATAATGCTAAGCATGATTTTTTTCCTATGGAAGATTTATTTATTCTACTCTAATCAGTTCACACCTGTGCAAAATGAGTGCACGCAGATGTATAAAGCTTCTGTTATAACATGGTATGGCTTCCACACACAGGGGAAATCTCAGCTCCAAGAATGTCAAAGAGATTTTCTCAGACTCATTTCTTCACACCTAATTCATGTTTCATCTTTAAGAATCAGTGATTTCACACTGCTCTAAATGTTGCTACTTCTACTGGTACAACTGCCAGAACACTGACATTAAATATTCTTACTATCACAACAATTCAGAATT